CCCTCCCGGGCCGAGCGAGGAGTCCTCGCGCGGGCGGGACGCGCGGTGAATGCGACGCCCCGCGTCTCCAGCCGCCAGGAGCTCCCCGGCGCCGCGGGCAGCGTCGGCCTCCCGAGCAGCTGTGACTGCACCTGGGCAGCCTGGACCCTCGTGCCCTGCTGCCGGGGCCTCGCGCGGGGGGCGCCCCGGGACACCCGCCGCGGGCCGGTTGGAGGAGGAGGAAGAGGAGGAGGAAGAGGAAGACGCGGGTCCGGACCGCCACCCTTTCCAGTACACCTGGCCGCTCCGCTTCCACTTGTTTTGTGCGGGAAGGAGCGGAGAGCCATGGGGGGCTGCGAGGTCCGGGAATTTCTTTGGCAGTTTGGCTTCTTTTTGCCCCTGATGACCGCCTGGCCCGGCTACTGTAGTCACGTCTCCAACAACCAAGGTAAGGAAGAGGGTCGGAAGCGAGGGCGGGGAAGGCGCCCTGCTGGCCTGCGCGGGGAACTTCGTCTGGGGTCGGCCGCGGCGGAGCGCACCTGCGGTGTGCCCTGAACCAGAAGAGCACCCAGCCAAGCCCCTGGGACGGCGGCCCGCGCCGCGATCCTTGTACGGTGAGGGTGCGCGAGCCTTGCCGCACGTGGGTCCCTTCCCAGGCTGGAGGGTGGCCCGCACCGCCCCGCGGCTGCAGCCTCCGCCGAGGTCAGGCTCGACACACGCACTTACAGGGGCTCCTGCCTCTGCTGTGGCACACGACAGTGAGGTGGGGATTCTCCCCGCCGTGCCGGAGCAGTGCCAGCCTCGTGCCCCTCGAATCTCCCTCTCCCTCGCCCATTCTCAGCCCTGGAACCCGGTCTGCCATCTAGATCACAGAATGCCTCCTGCTTCGCAATTATTCCTAGACCAGATGCTCAGAGATCTGCCTTGTGGTTGCTATTTCGTGAGAGTGGGAAGTAGATAAGTGTTGAGTGTGAATTTCCAAGTTGTGAATATTCTGGCCAAAAACTCAAAGTGCTGTCGGATTTCGGGGGATTTTGTTTTCTTGTGTAAAGTGGTGAAGGACTGTGTGCAAGGAAAGGAAAACACAAAATCTGCTAACATTTTCTTCTGTTCAAACACTCTTTATAAAATATTTCACTCGGAATTCTTTTAATGGTAGTAGGGTATTTAAAGATCAATAAAATCATCACCTCCGTATTCCACATCCTTTTAGACTAGTATGGGACACCCATGAAAAGTTTTGCAGTGTGTACCGGGCTGGCTGCTCTCTCGGGTGCGGTGTGGCCACTGGTGTATCGCTCGTTAGGTGAGGGGCTCGAAAGGCTTTAAGCAGCAACACCTGCGGCCAGCTAGCCTCGCCATTCCGCGGACAGCGCGAGGAGTTTGGGGCCGTGGGTGAATTTGCACGTGTAAATGCGGAGGTCAGATGACCCGGCATCCTGTGCTACAGTATTTATGTGAAAGGAGAAGAAAGCGGAGGGAAGGCAAGCCACAGTGCAGCCGTGCTGGCAAATCTGTGCCACCGTGCGCTTTCTCAGATAAACGTTTTCCATAGAATTCAGAATTACAGTTCCAACCTTGCCTATGCAGTTGGCATGCTTTTCTAGTTACTGTGTTCACCTGACAGAGTGCTGCACCCGCAAAGGCATATGCGAACTTGGAAGTCACTTATAACCTTATGACTTTGAGAAGGCGTCCTGTAATAGGACAGCTGTCGAGCCGTCCTGCTGTAGTGTCATGCACATTGAGGCCACATCCCTCACTTGTTTTCAAGGTCTTTCGATATTCATCACCGAACAGATGGTTATTTGGCTTCAAAGAAAACAAGATTGTTTAAAATAAGGTATCTATTTACTTGACCTTTTTACTGTGAAAGAAAACATTTTAGTACTTGGAAGTCTGACGTTCACATTAAGTTTTATATCTCTATCTATGGGTGCTAAAGAGATATATTCTTTGACCATCAGGTTGGCTAGAAGTATTGAACTGTTATTCTCATGTAACAATTTTTCTAAATATTTAGAACCTTCGCAGTTTCAATAACCACTGTCGGTATTGGGTTTACTAATATAAATGCAACATACGTGTTAGTGTCCACATTACGAACGTGGTATTCTGTCAAATCATGCCATATTAAAGTAGGACTTCTCAGATATTTATATTAAATTTAAGAGCTAAACAATGTTATCTGGTAGCTTCTTCAGGTAATTTTTAAATCTATTTTAATGACTTCTCTATACAACTTAATAATATTTTACATAAAATAAGTATCAAACATATAGTTGATTTTTATAAAGTAGCTTAAGTTGGTGTGGGAATGAGCATTATACAGTTTTTCATCAGTTAAATAGGACTGTTAAATACTGTTTTATAAAACATGTAATTTATATTCATATACTGAAAACATAAGTTATAAATAAGAATACACTTGAATAAAAAATACCTAAAGGTTAAATTGTATAATATTAAGGTTAGTTCTTCAAAAAAAATTGTAGTGAAAGTATAATCACAGTTTTTCACTAGTCACGATGATCATACAATGTTTTGATTTATTTTAGTTTCTTTGCGCTACCTCCAGGGCTTGCACACAGAGCTGTATCCTCATGCTTCATACAAATTAGTTCTGAGGCAAGATCTCACTATAAAGTGCTTCTTAAAACCTAAATTATAATGATTAAAAATTGTACCTGTAGTTTTAAATACGGAAGGCATCACACGATTGATTAATTAAATATAACCCTTTAATATTATTAGGAACATTTTAGTAATATTTTTAAAATTGGAATTTTATAGATAGTGAAGTCAAAACTTCAGTTTTTGCACATCTGAAACATGGAATATTACAAATTTGTATGCACACAATGTGGAAAGATCAATGTCGAGTGTAAGTTAAATTTCTTATAAACATAAATAGCACTAATATGAGTAGTATTTATTTCCAAAAAGATATTTCATATTTCTGTTAATTTTCACTACTGTTTTATTTTGCCATTTATTTATGGAGGATCAAGTTACAATTATATGTATCTCCTTAAGAATCTTGAAAGGCTTTTAATGTTATATAGCTTTTACAAAATTATATAAAATCATGACAATAAAAGTTAATTTGACCCCTTCACGCTCTTCTTCTAATTTCTATGATTTAGACAAGGTCAAATAATGACAGTGAGAAAAAATTGTACTACCTTATTCCTTTAACATGATATGAAGAGTAATGTGACTACAGAAAGGGTCTCTTATCTTCCAGTTCACTATAAAGCTGTGTGTTGCATAGTTAAAATAAATCAGTTTTATTCTCTTACCTGAGCCTCCTGGAATCAATCAGAAAGAAGTGGTTGTTCCTAGTTCATTTTTTAGAAGTGAAAACATGTATGTTTATATCTCTTATTCCATTAATTTTCCCTACATTTAAAGACACAGTATTAGTTAAGTGTATCTAACTTATTTAAAAAAATCAAATTTTATCTCTTTGGGATATAAGACATTTTATTTCTGTACTGACTTCTTAGGTGATACAAAACACAGTCTTGTTTTATGTGTAAGTTAACCATATATATCCATGTTATAGTGGTTAGTAACCACCAGGAGTCCATTTATTCAATGATTATTATGCTTTAGCCAATAATGTATGTGATAGAATTAACACATTCTTCAAAGTCTACTCATGTTTATGAAAAGCTATCAATTCCATGGAGAATTCCTTGTCGAGATAGGGCTTCGGTACATAAGTCACAGTATGTACCAACCAAATCCTAGCCATTCTCTTTCTTTGCACAATTGATTCAGCACTTATTAGGAGTGTGATATGGTAGAGATTAATGTATATATTGCAGTAATGGAAATAGTTTGAATTTGCTCAGTGTACATTGTTAGTAATCAAACTAAACACCTACAGAAATATTACATTGCGCATACATCCACAGCTTTCTATTATACTTAGGATTACCTCACAGTTTCAATAGAACTTACGTTGAACATGTGTCACACTTGCTCTTGTATTATTTTTTTAATGAGTATAAATTTTACATGGAGAAAAGTAGTAAAGCAGACCAACATGTTTTGCATCCTTGTGGAGTAACATAAATAAAAAGTAAGTTAATAAAAAATTAGAATGACTGTTGCAGTTTTGTGGACGAACTAGCTAACCTAGTGATGTAGCGTAGCCGGAATGGGAAGGTTGGCAGTATGTGCGCCTTGGAAGGATATTTAACCCTTGTTCTTAGGGAAGAGCAAGGACCAAATGGGAGGCTTAGAAAGCAGTACGCTGAAGGTAGAAGAAACTGCCAGAGTGAAGAATTGAGTCAGGGACATGAATTTATCAAGCAAGGAAGAGAGCTGCAGAAAGTGATGTTTGAAAGATAGTAACCAGATCAAGTTCTCTGAAGTAGAAAAAAAAAAGGCACCAAGGAGTTGACTTTTTCTATTATCCCCAGAAAAATGTGAATCCGAAGCCATTCACCAAGCCGTTTGCCGAAAGAAGACTGTAAAGAGAAGGAGCACAAGTCCGATAGTTAGATCGGCCACGGTGGCTGCCAGTGGGCATAGGAGGGGGACCTGTGCTCTGTTTTGTGTGTAGAACGGACAGGACTGTCTTAAGTGTGCAGCAGAATGCAGTGGTACCTTGGGTCCCAAACAGAAGCCTTCAGCACAATGTTTTGTTTGCAATCTACATCAGGTGGCGAGCACAACCATGGCCATCTTTCCCATGTAAGCACAATGTGACCGTCTTTTCCAAAATTGAAGAGCAGAGTAAATTTGTGAACCAGAGCACCGCTGCAAATGTAGATACTGAACATGCTTTTGATTTTCTTTTCAAGGACCTCAAGTAAGCGCTCCATTACTATGGACATGCCATCCAATTATTAACAGTGGACAGGTGTTAAAAGAAATGAGGCGAAGCAAAACAGTGTGAGGAGTGTGGGATGCTCCTTTCTCTATTGGCTCAGTTGAGATTATTACTTTAAACTTCTAATGGCATGATTTTTCTATCTCAAACAACTGTAAGAAGCAAAAGTCCACTCTTGTTGGATCAGAAGTGCAATTTCTTAATGCTTCTCTGACACCGAAGCTTCCCTTCTGTAGTTAGTGCCGTCAGAGTGAATGAGTGCAGTAGGCAGGGACACGTTTAGAAGGCAGCACAGTGAGGCGCCAGCGGAGCCTGCTTTCAGATAATGAAGAAAAATACGCATTTGCAGGTTTGTGAATGCACCAGTTTGATTCATCACTGCTAAAAATTACTTTATTGGAAACAAAAAATGTAAGTAATACCGTACTGGATATCAAACTAGGGGTATTTTCAGGTCTTTTCCATCAGTCTTCTTTTCTCTCTGCATTTTGTTTAAATAAAGTGAAACAAATAAGTGTTTTGGAAATCTTAGACCTAGAAAATCCATTTAATGATAGGCAGCATTCTTGGGGACTGAGGCAAGGGAAGAACTTTTGGTCTTT